GAAACCAGCAGTTTTGCCATGACCATCAAAATGTCCTTAATTTTCTGCTTTCTGGGCTCTTTTTTTGGTCTGGATGAGGCAGAAAAGAGAGGGAGGGAAGGTCCCAGTGGGTGGGGGGGAACGGGTTGGGAGCACAAGTGTAACAAAGGATCACTTGAACAGAAACTACTGAGTAATAGCTTTGGCCCGTGCCAAGAATAACATCAGCTCCATGTCGGCAATTAGAATCAGGTCAGCCGGGCCTCGCAGCCGCTGCAGCCTCTCACGGACCCCAGCGTGGAGAGCTACTCATGCTGATGTCACCGGTAGTCACTGTTGCTCAAGCAGGGCCCCCGACTCAGCTGAAAGAAGAGTGTTTTTGCCTTGTCCTTCGGGGCAGACACACGCTGGCTGTGCCAGTCTATAGCAGCCCCTCGCGATCCCCAACTACCAAGACTCTGGCCTTGCCCCCCAACATCCTGAAACTCATCTTACATGAATTAATATATGAACAACACCAAGAATAGAACAGTGCTTGGGAAAGGAACTTGGGATACAGTAAGTGCTTATGAAGTGCTGGCTTGTTACTAACAAAACAGCAGGGAATCTGTCCCGCTATTTCTCTTTTGCCCACCCTGAGACTTGAATCCTGGGAGCTGAGATTGGTGAGCAGAATGTACCCTGATAAGAATGAGAAAAGAGGTATTTTGATCATTTATTTACGAGGATACTGTGGTCGATGAAGTGAAAAAGATGGCAACAAAGTTCTATAAAAATGATTGCCTGGGCTGGGGATGTGGCTCAAGCGGTAGCRCGCTCGCCTGGCATGCRTRCGGCCCGGGTTCGATCCTCAGCACCACATACCAACAAAGATGTTGTGTCCGCCGAGAACTAAAAAATAAAGAAATATTTTTTAAAAAAATGATTGCCTGATATTTCATAAGGGTGACATTAAATTTTAACACATCCCATCTTCCTTCCAAAAGACAGAAAACAAATAACTGAGGGAAGAAAATTTAATTTAAAATTTTAATCAATTTTTGTTTTTTGGTTTTTTTTTTGGGGGGGTATTTGGGATTTAATCCAGGGCATTTAACCACTAGGCCACATCCCCAGCCCTTTTTATTTTGAGGCAGGGTCTTATTAAGTTGAGTAGGGCCTTGCTAAGTTGCTGAGGCTGACCTCAAAATTGCAATCCTCCTGCCTCCGCCTCTCAAGTAGCTGGGATTAGTTTTAACTAGCTCTTTAAGTAGATGTTGCTATAGACTAGGTGTCTGCAAAGTAGGGCCTGCAGGAAAAATCCAGCTTGCAGTCTTTTTGTAAATAAAGTTTTATTGGAAGACAGCCATTCGTTTACATATTGTGCATGGTTGTTTTTACTCTGCCCTGGCAGAATTGAGTAGCTGTAATGGAGACCCTATGTCCTACGAAGCTTAAAATATTTACTATCTGGCTATTTGCAGAAAAAGTCATGGACTCTGCATTGACTTAAAACAGTGTTTTTCAAATTGCTGAAGTTTCATCCATCAGGGCATATCAGCTCATAGTTTCAGTTTTGTCTTTTTTTTCTTTCTCATGCTCTTCATCAAAAGGACTGGATCACACCCAATTTTCTTGTATCTATCCTTGGATACCTCTGCCAATGGCGCAGTGTTACTTTCCTCTCATTTCCAGGTCACAGGCTCAGTCTTCTGCAGGGGTGGATTTAGGTCATGATGATTTCTGTATTTCTGAGTAAGCACAATGCTAGATAGAGATGAAGACCCAAACTCACTCTGTATCAGTGGTCAGAGATGCCCATGTTCAGACTCACAGCCTGAATCCGAGGGCCTGCTTGACATGAACAYTTGCAACCAGCTGGAAAGCTAAGTGCTCTGATTAGAGGCAGAAGAGGATGGGCGAATTTCTTTGCATATAATGGGAGAAAGGCCACATGATATTTCCCCAAACGTATACTAGGAGATCACTGTATGCAAGGCACTATGTGTAACAACAATGACTATATCATACCACACCATACCATTCCATAGCATACCATCCTAGAAGACCCCCTTAACATCCTGTTCCAAAAWATCATGTTTCTCTTCAAGATAGATGCTAGGAAACTTTTTTTTTTTTTTTTTTAGAGACAGAGAAAGAAAGAGAATTTTTTTAAAAAAAATATTTATTTTTTAGTTTTCGGCGGATACAATATCCTTGTTTGTATGTGGTGCTGAGGATCGAACCCGGGCCGCACGCATGCCAGGCGAGGGCGCTACCGCTTGAGCCACATCCCCAGCCCGATGCTAGGTAACTTTGATTTTAATTCTGGTCACCAGTCTCAAACAGGAAGCTAACCAAATTTTATGACCTATACTCAAGGAAAGTGACTCCAATGTGCAAGGAGTTTATTAGAGAAGTACCATCTCTATCTAAAGGATTATCTCAAGGACAGAAATAGAGGACAGACTCAGAATGAAAACAACAATTTGGTGATAATTCTCAGGCGGGTCTAGCACAGATAAGCTAAAACCAAAGGCTTAAAAATCTAAAAGAGTGGCGTTTTTTTTTTTCCCTGTGGAGTGTTTCTAGATATCCTCTGAAATAAAGTGCTCCAAGTTACTAAATATACTTCATGTTAGAACATTTAATATCTTATTTGCTATTTAATTAGTTATAAACTCCTTAAGCTCACAGAATTTAGTTTCTCTAGCTCTCCCCACAGACCTAAAACTTCACCCTTACTCACTCTTACCTAAATCAGTTGTGGTTTAGAAAAACAGGGAGAAGGAACAAAATGATGTTATATACATATATAAAATCATGATGAATGATTTTCTGTTCCTTCTCCAGGAGACACGAGATAACTCCCTTCTTGGGAGTTCTGCCTCCTCCTTAAGATGGATATTCTGACAGATTCTAAAAAACATATTTTCCATATACTTCATAATTCAGTGAAACTAAACCAGTGTAATCCTCAGTGAAAAAAAATCCACACAAGAACAGCAGTACTCTAAATTTTCAAAGGAATGTGAGTTGCTGGAAGCTAATCAAAAGCATGAGAGGGACTTAAAAGTAAAGCAGTTTCTCAAAGTGAAAATCAGCAAAACTGCCTCTCTTTTCCCCAAACTTTAATGTCCTGCAAAAYATCTCCTTTCATTTAAAAAAAACAAAAACTGTCCACTATTTCAAGGTACTGAAGTGTGGTTTAAAAGGGACCAACTGTCTWTATTCCCTGGAGCCACATGAGGGAAGTAAGGCTGTACAGCGAAGTCTCCACTATCCAGCACCTGATCAAGGTGGCATTCTCAAGGACTCAAATGACAGGAAGTTTGGAAGTGTAAAACACTTTAGGAAGTGTGCGCAGATTTAAAAAAAAAAAAACTACAAAAACTAGTACACACATTTCTATCTGCAATTGTGAAAATGCAAACTGGCTTACGTGCTTCTACTGTCCCAAAGATTTTCTAGATGAGGAAATTTCTACGTGGCAAAGGATGATGTTGTGATCAGAATGAGATGCCATATTCTACACTTCCAGATTGAAAAGTCTGGAAATTTCTCCATTAAAAACAGTTAAAGGGGCTGGGGTTKTGGCTCAGTGGTAGAGCGTGCTGGGTTTGATCCTCAGCACCACATAAAAATAAGTAAATAAAATAAAGGTATTGTGTCCAACTACAACTAAAAAAAAAAAAATTAAAAACAGTTTAAAGAACTATTTCACAAATGTTTGAATTTATCATTTCTCAATTATGATGTGTTAATTTACAGAGAAAATACCAGAGATAAAGGTGATCATGTGATGAACTATGTTGAAAAAATTAAATAATCCTATGTTATTCTGGACAGTAGTGAAAAAAGTAAAGATACAGGGCATAATGATAATTAATTCACTTAGAGGATCAGAGGATAAAAAACCTTGGGGAAATGCTTCCTTTATCATTGAATAAGTATTAATTCAGCACTAACTAATGTATAACATGAACTACATTTTTATAAAAAAAAGAAGCAAGTGATAAGAGATCAAACTGATAGAAGGTATTTTTTTTCCATAAAATATAGGGAGGGCTGGGGTTGTGGCTCAATGGTAGAGCGCTTGCCTAGCATGTGTGAGGCCCTGGCTTCGATTCTCAACACTGCATATAAATAAATAAAATAAAGGTCCATTGATAACCAAAATTTTTTTTTAATTTAAAAAAAACAGGGAAATAGGGAAGCTTACAGAATCAGTATTAATTCAGTTTAATACATCTGTAGAACATGTAAATGATTCTAATGATAATCCTGAATCATCAAAACAAAGCTAATTCTTAGTGACCTGACCTTTCGTAAGGCCCTTCTTCTTCTAAATGATTGGGGAAATGCCGACAGATTAGTGTGATATACTTGCACAGCTCCTCACACATATGCTCTGGGGTTTTTGTTATTTCACAGACAGTGAGCAGAGAATGAAGATTTCACTCTAAGTTCCATAGCACAAGGATGCTTGTGTGTTGGGTCCTGTTAAAGCCCCACTGTTTAATAAAACATTGCCTAGCCTGTGATAGGCATTTGACAAAACATCTGTTGAATAAACCCGCTGTCACTTACAGAAGACTGGTACTCTAACTTGTGACCATTTCCAAGTTATCTATTCCTTGATGGATCAATATGTACATATGTATACCAACTCTATGAAAGAAGAGAAAGAGTACATTCAGAAAGAAAGATGCTTAACATACTGGCTTTTAGGTATTTTGGAATTAGACCCCTGGGAAGTTACTGAACTAAGAGCACATAACAGAGAGGGGAAAGACTACAACAGGGACTTTTGTACACAYAAATGAAAGAACCGGGTCACGCATGGTTCCACATCACCTTCCAGTGAAGCCCATGTTACGGCTCCAGAACGGTTCTGAGAGGAGACTCCCTACAAATCATCCKCGCCAGCTGCTTTGGAAACCTTTCAGGACGTTAACTCTACACTGCCCGTTCACTCATTTTTTTTTTTTTTAACCCTTAGAAGGAAGAGACAGCACATGGAAGGGCTCGTCTTGAATTACCTGGTGCCTGGCTCGACTCTGGTCCAGAAGCTGCCGGGACTGAAGTTTCTGTTGTTCCAGTTGCTGGAGAGCAAAATGCAGCTGGTAGCTGCCTGCCGTGGGGTGGTACTTGTGTTGGGGAGCCACCCCGGTAGCCTTGCTATACGCGTTGTTCTCCACCTCGCCCTCCCAGGCAAAGCCACCTGTTTGGAGGCTCCTGAAGAGAAAAGAAAGCAGATTTCTTTGAGTGGCTGGGTGAACAATCCAAGGGGAAAGAGAGAAGTGTCTCAAGTATTTCTCCTTTCAGAGTCAGATGCAGTTGAAATTACCAATCTCTTTGTGTGACCAGTTATCTGACTCCTCCACTTGACCATGGTTCCACAAGGACAAGGACAGGGCTTGCTTAACTCCCCATCCTATTCTTGGCACTTATCACCAGGCCTGGCGCACGAGCGGACTGTAAATATTTGCTGAATGCTAAATAACTGAAATAGTAATTTCATCCCCCTGTGATTGCCACAAGGACCTCCAAGAAGAGTCCAGAGAGCTTCAGATTCCTAACTGAAGGTTAAAACAGAGGTACAGTCATCTCTGTTAACTTCAAAAGTAAAGAGGTAAATTACACAGAATTCTCAAATTTTTAACCACCCATTTGTGAAGTATCCAGACTTATTCTAGAAGCTATTTCTATCTGAGCTTGTGTTCCCATCAGGAGACAATATAACTGGAGTGAGAAGTCACTTTTTTCATCATTTCAAATTAACCCAGTATAGCCCAGTATGGTCCCATCCAGGCTGACCTTCAGCCTATACACATGAGGAAGGGCTGGTGGCCTTCTTGACTTGTCAGTACCTACACTACACCATTTAATACTCTGCCTGTATTCCTTGCCAAGATTGTTTTTTCTATTTGTTCTTTTTAGATAGACATGACAGTATTTTGACATATTATACATGCATGGAGCATAACTTATTCTAATTAGGATCCCATTCTTGTGATTGTACATGACTTGGAGTTTCATTGGTTCTTGCCCAAATTCTAAATTCCTAGATTCTGGTGACCACATCTGTACATACAGGCAGAAGTCTTCACAACTCTATGCACCTGTATCCACCCCAGTCTATTTCTTCCAGGTAGAAAAGTCCCCATTTATACCACTTTATACCCACTAGCACAGTTATTAYTAAGACAAAACAAAAACAAAACAAAAAGAAAAACAGAAAACAACAAGTTCTAGAGAGAATATGGAAAGCTGGATCTTCTAAGCATTGCTGGTGGAAATGTAAATTGGTGTAGTCACTGTGGTTCCTCAAAAAGGAACACGAGATTCCCATATGACCCAGCAATTTCATATCCTCAGCGCTACACAAAAAATCAAATAACATAAAATCACTGATTCAGTAATTCTACTTCTATACATATCCAAATGAATTTAAATCAAACCAGAGAACTGTACACCAATATTCAAAGCATTATTCACAAAGTCAAAAAGTAAAAACAACTTCAACATCCATCAACAGATGGGTAAAGAATAAAATGTATAGGTTGGGGTTGTGGCTCAGAGGTAGAGTGCTCTCCTAGCGTGTGCAGGAGATCCTCAGCACCACACAAAAATAAATAAATAAAAACTAAGGTTTTGTGTTTCCAACTACAACTAAAAAATAAATATATATTTTTAAAAAAGAATAAAATGTACATACATTGGGATATTAAATGGCTTTAAAAAGGAAGGAGAGGCTTTATAGCTCAGTGGTAGAGCACTTTCCCAGCAAACATGAGGCCTGGGTTCAATCCCCAGCACTGCAAAAAGAAAAAAATTTAAAAAATAGAAAAAAGAAAGGAAATTCCGACACAAGCAGCATGCAATAACATGGATGAACCTTGAAGACACCATGTCACGTGAACGCGGGAAATAACTCAGGAGAGAAAGGATAAATACTATATGATTCTACCAATATGAGGTAGATAGACTAGAAACAAAGTAGGGTGGTGGTCGCAAGGGCAAGGGAATGAGGAATTCTTGCTTAGTGACTACAGAGCTTCAGTTTTGGATAAAGAAAAATATCTGGAGATGGATGGATGGTGATGATTGCCTAAGTGTCAACGCAGTAAATGCCACTGAGCTGTACACTTGAATGGTTACAGTGAAAAACTTTGTTATATGTAATTTAATACAGGATGGTTTAAATATTTATTTAGTCCCCATTTATTCTGACAACAACCCTATTTGGACTTTTTTTTTTTTTGGTGGGGATTGAACATAGGACTTTGGACATGCGAGGCAAGCACTCTACCAACTGAGCTATATCCCCAGCCCCTGTGACTATTTGGTTGAAACTTGAACCTCCTTAACACTTTGTTACTCTTCTCTGGACCCCCTTTTTGCTTTCTTTCTTTTTTGGTACTTGGGATTGAACTCAGAGGTACTTTACCACTGAGCCACATCCCTAGTCCTTTTTATTTTTATTTTTTAAATTTTGGGATGGGGTCTCATTAAGTTGCTTAGAGCCTTGCTAAGTTTCGGAGGCTGGCCTCAAACTTGCAATTTTTGTGCCTCAGCTTCCCAAGTTGCTGGGATGCAGGTGTGTGCCACTACACCCAGGTTTGGACTTTAACTACTCTCTCTATATACACATATATTTTTCCTTTTTGAGTTACAGTGACCAGAGAAGTGTATAGAGAAGAAACATTATAAAGATTCTCATAATGAACAACCTTAGACCAAACCTGGGCTTAGAGAAATGAGAGTGTGTCTTATTTGAGAGAATTGTTTCTAGTGATTTAAAACGTTGTATTATTGGGGCTGGGTGTAGCTCAGGGATACAGTGCATGCTTAGCATGCACCAGGCCCTTGGGTTCAATTCCCAGCACCATTAAATACATAAATAAACCATTCTTATTCTCTCCTTTGGCATTAATGATTGTTTTGATGCTAGAGGTATATCAACGCTGGGGTAAGGTCATGCAACTCGAGTTCTCTGAGACCTGACCTGCAGCTCAGAGCATTGTGGGAGGAGCCCAGTCTGTCTGCTGAGCCCAGGACTCTGTGCTACTCTCTGCCAGTGGCCTTCCTCCATAACTTSGTAATTTCAGGTCTGTGCTTTGGTTTCCCAGCTTCTGTCAAAGAGATTTCCAAATACCCAGGAAAGGGTTTATATAATGTTACCTCTGATATGTCACATCCTTTTCTCGGGGTTGGGATGCTCAGTCTGACTCCCACATTTACRTTGCTCAATTATATTCTATTGGCTAGTCTTCTTGGGAAACAGGACCAAAAAGCTCAGAGTTCATTCATTCATTTGGCATGTGATCTTCTGTGATGCTCTGGAAGTGTCTCAATGTGCATGCTAGAAGTCACCTTTCCTAAGGGGCTTCTGGAGGTATGAAAAAATGTGGTGACCAGTGATGGAACACAATTAAGCACCTAAGTATATTAATCAARTATAACCTTCACCGTGTAGAGTGTTGAGTGGGAGTGAAACATGGTTAGGAAGGGAGGAGCCAGAGGAACCTATTACCTCTTTTCTCATTTCTGAAGGAACAGAAGTTACTGAAGTTAAAAGAAGCAGACCGAGGGGCTGGGGCTGGGGCTCGGTGGTAGAGCGCTTGCCTCCCACAAGTGAGGCCCTGGGTTTGATCCTCAGCACCACATATAAATAAACAAATAAAATAAAGGTATTGTGTCCATCTACAACTAATATTAAAAAAAAAAAAAAGAAGCAGACCGAATAGCAAAAAGCTCTGTGTGAGCTGTAAGCAGAGGAGGGGCGTGGATGAACAAGAGCTGGAAGGCAGAGCAGGCCAATGAACAAATAAAGCACAAATGGAGGGGACAGGTGAAAAGGCAGAACACTCCTTGGCTGAATAATTTTCAGACTGCTGTGCCAATTAGGGTAGGTACTATTCTGCGACTAGACTAAAACTGTTATTTTTAATCACTGGACCAAAGGTCAGAAACTTCATCAATAGTGATTGTGCTTCCACGCCTGGCTTGCTGGTTATAGAGGCTGCTAGCCAGAGTAGCAATCCCAACTCAGTGACCAGATGCAGAGGAGAGATGCAGCTATAAGGCTTATATCAGAATCCATTGCACAGGGCAGCTGGATTGGGGAAAATAAAAAAAAGTTTTAATAAGAAGCATTCCCAGGAGGCATTCACTTCAATGCCTTCTCAGTACAAATTAGAAATGGGAGCCTGTAACTAGGTCCCCGGGTTGAGGATGATCATGGACAGGTTCTCAGCTATATGAACAGAGGCAGGGGTCTACGGATGTACAGTGGGCAGGAGAGTGGGCAAGAGAAGATCAAATAAGGGACTTTGGATAGGCAAAGTGTTCTTCCAACTGTACACACTGAACAGACTGGAACATCATAAACTTTTATAATGAAATCTGTTTTTAATCTCATCAGTAACATAAGCTTTGTCTCCAAATCACAAAAGGAAGTTTCTCAAGCAAGTAGAGGCTTTTAGCAAACAGGCAGGAATTTTTATAGTGCTATACTTGGTGGAGGTAAGGGATGCTTAGTTGTATAATGTAATAAGTACCTAAGAAACTTGATTGCTTTTTTTTATTTAAAAATTTTAAAGTTTAAATTTTTAGTGCATATTAAGTGTATAAACTAACGGGTTTGACCCTGACATTTCCATGAATGCATATAATGTGCTTTGATTATATGTCTCTACTGGCCCTTTCCCAGTCCCCTTCCTTAAAAATCCCTCTTCTACTATTATACTGACTTTTTCTTGTTAAGATTGCACATAAGAAAGAAAATATATAATTGTTCTCTTTCTGGGTTTGGTTTATTTAGTTTAAGTGATGATTTCCAGGTTCATTCATTTTCCTGTAAATGATAAAATTTAGATTATTTTTATGGCTGAATAGTACTCCACTGTGTATCTATGTAGCATTTTCTTTATCTGTTCATCTGTTGATGGGCATCTAGACTAACTCCACTACTTGGCTATTGTGAATAGCGCCACAATAAATAAGGGCCTCTTTTGGGGTGGGTCTCTTTTCTTTATACCAACTTGATTCCTTCTGTATGACCAGGTTGGCTAGATCATTTAGCAGATCTACTTTTAGTTTTTTGAGGAATCTTGAACTGTTTTCCATAGTGGCTGYACTAATTTAACATTCCCATCAATAGCATATAAGGGTTCCCTCTTGGCCAGCATTTTTTGTTATTTTCTTGATAATAGCCATTCTGACTGGTATGA